ATTCGCGGGTATCGTTGTACTGGTACGAGTGCATACTGGGGTGCTCGCTGAGGTACAAGCTCAAGTGCCAGTGAACGTGCATTCGCAAATTTGCGGTTCTCGCACTCTGGAGTGCGGCAAATACGCGTCATCGAAAGTACTTCCGCCATTGCGTTCTACTCCCTAGCAATTACGGTTCCCCGTTATTATTATTATTATTAATATTAATATTATTATCATTATCATTATTATTATTATTATTATTTTTAACGATATTATTATTTTAACGATATCACGATACGACACATTGTTGAAATAAGCATACAAATATTTATACTGCTTACGATTAAACTGCCTCTGAAAGTGTTAAGAGACCAATGTCAGATCCTAATAATTGCATTTAACATTAACCGCAACAGCGTTACGTAATGCGTTTGATTATAATCACTATAGCCGCGACGGTCATCGACGATCGATCGCGCCGTTAAATGAGGATGTTCAGTGGATCACGTCATTAGCGACTGATTTATTAACGGAAAACGCTTGCACGTAGCCGCGATTTAACCGGCGCATAACAATGGAAATCAACGTTCTAAAATCACGATTCAACACTCTCCTCATTTCCCGTCATTGCGTAACGGAAAATTCATTATGCCGGTGAACTCGTAATCGCAAACATTATTTTTCATCCCTCGACGTCGCGCAGTCGAGCTCGGCCGTAAGATTAATGTTCCCTTACGACGGATTCGTCATTACCCAGGCACTGTGCTCGGCGACGGCCGTGTAATTGGCCGTGTCCGGCCGCCGTCTTTCTTTTGTTTCTTTTACATTTATTACGGCGCCCCTGACCTCGCACTTCCACGGAGAATGGATTAATGCTTTCCCGCCGAGAGAGTGAATCTAATTGAAGGAGATCTGGAAAATTGACATCGCACGCCTTTTAACTCCGAGCCGCTCGTCAAGCGTAGTTAACAATCTCGTAATTTCGGCTTTTCTCTCTCAATATCCTCCCTCGAGCGTATGAATTCTCCAGTTGCGAATTAATTTAAAAGAAAGACCAAGATATATTTGTAAAAAAGAATAAAACTTTTTAAATAAAATTACTTATATGTATTATTTATCTTATTTTTAATTTTTTTAAAATAAAATTACTGTAATTAAGAATAAAATTATTTTTACAAATACACTCCGTTATATGCCGTTTTATCGAAATATCTTTATTATCGCGTCGCACTATAAAACATTGCCGGTTTATGTCGCAGTTATAGTATTACGATCGATATAAAAGTAAGAGCGAACTGTTCATCGCGGGTCCCTCGGGCATGGCACGCTTGCACCGAACAGCGCCTGCTACCCCCGCGAGCTATATTTTCGTTTGCATAATGACGCGCGAAAAAAGCTATTCATTTTCGCGTGAATCCGCGTCGAGAATTAATCGTCCGAAGACGCGCGATCGACTGTTTCGAGAAACGTAATGCGAGGAAAGAGAAAAGGGGTAGGGGTAACGAGCGAATTAATTGCCAAGAAAAATACCGCCGATTAATTTGCGATACGCTTCGTAAATTAATGCGAAGTGTTATTAATGATTTATTTATCCGCGGAACATAATCGCTCGTGCGGGAAAAATAACTATATCGCAATGAATGAAAAAGAAGCGCTCTTTCGATTCAACGTAGTATGTCAAACGAGCGCAGAACATCGTGTACATATATATATATATATATATATATATATATATATATATATATATATATATACAGTACCTGTCAAAAATATTGCATTATTTGTATAGAAACAGGAAAGTCATTACTTTAATTTATAGATATTATCAACTTATCTTTTATTATTATTATTTTATGTGCTTTAATTCGTAAAAATTAAAAATTATAACAAATAGTAACAAAAATATTAAATTTTTAATTTTTTAAAATAGCCTTTCTGGCCCTTTTAATCACTAGATCTTAATCCGATAAAATATTGTGGGATGAACTTGATAGAAGTGCTCAAAAAATGAAATATATCAAAAACAATTGTAAAATTTCCAAACATGTTAGAATTAAGTATCAATAACAATTTAAAAAAAAACTGTTATCAAGAGTACTAAAAGTGCGATAATAAATCAAACGGAGCTTTTTTGAAAAATCAAGAACTTAATATTTCTGTTATTATTTGTTATAATTTTTAGTTTTTATGATAATGAAACGAAAAAACAATAGTAATAATGTAATATAATTTAATATAATTTAATAATATTTTTATGTCTTTGTTTTTATTAAAGTAATGACTATTTCTATAAATGATACTTTTAACTCGTACTGTATATATTGCTGGGTATAAATTACCTTCCGACTGAGATTTATCGTCGACCTGTGCGAGTGATGTTCTCGCATGAGAGGTAATAACAAGAGGAGAAAGGCGTTCTGTTCTCCTTGCTTCTTACACGGAATATCTCGTCGCGTCTTCTCCTACTTCTATTTAAACCGCGCGTTGATCTTGCGTTCGCACATCCACCAGCTTCAATTTAAAGGTTGAATAATTTCAGACACAAAATCGGGGGATATTATAAGAGTGAGAAGCTGTCAATACGCATCAAGATAAATGTTGATTTGGGTTCTCCTCCTATTTATCGTTCTATTTTTGTTTTTAATGTTTTAGAATTAAAGATGATGTGTTTATAAGATTGATTATTCTTCAAAATCATATGTATCCTTTTTAAAAAATTTAATATCTAAATATACGATTTGATATAATAAAAGAAACAATGTTTCTAAGTGCCTTTGTTTGACGGATCTATGCTCTCAATTTCATTTTAACGAATGTTTATTTTTGCAAAATAAACAATTATTTTAGACGAATAATGGATACCAATAGAGAGCTTCTACCGTGCTAAACAAATTTTTGTTGTTTATTTGTAGTTTCCAAAAAAAAATAACAAAAATATAGAACGCGGGGAATAATTCGTGTGTGTTTCTTTTATATTGTTAATGGTAAATATAATTAAATATATAGTTAAATATAATTAGTAAATATAATTAGTAACGATGCGCATTAAGATCTTTCTGTCTCCTCCATCTCTTGAGAAAGGATATTATAGAAAATTGATCACGTCTGAGACTCCGAGCCAAAGTTTCCTTACTTAAAGTTTAAGTAGGGTCTAATGCGTAACTTAGTGTTGAATCGAAAACAACGATTGGTCGAATCCAAATTTAAGACCGACTTTAAATTTAATGTGGCCATTTAAAATTTAAAATAACACGTTGTTGCAGTTCTTTGGAATCTAGAAGTGCTTCGATGCGTCTTCGATAATTATAATTGATAGTTGATTTGCTAGAAACTTTTATCGAAATAAACTGAATGAAGAATAAACATTCAATAATTAAATTCAATAATTAAACGCTATTTGACTTTCTTTACATGTTTAAAAATATATAATCATACGAGAAAGCATATAATAATACCTACCATCTTTATTCAATTGCTAGATTCATGTAAAAATTTTCGAATATACAAGATGGCCCATGTAACTCTTATGCTTGATATTCCAAACATTGTTATCGATTTTAAAAGTTTCTTAAATTCGTTCTTGGGGTCTTGTATGGGTTCAATGAGCGATAGGTCTTCAAACTTGAGAGGAAGTTGATCTTCAAGCTCCAGTTGTATGGGTCAGGTGAGGATTAATTTTAAAATTTTAAATGGAAATTTACAAAATTACATATTTTAAATTTGAAAAAGAACAATTTAATTTTAAATTAAAAATTGTTTTTCCAAAACAATTTTTTGTCAAATGTTTTAAAAAATATGATGGTTTTTCTGAGGTTTCGACTTATAACTACTTGAAATACTCAGGAATAATCACACGAAAAATCACAAAGAACACTCTACTCTTATTTATTTAATGTCCAAAAATGTCCGCTATGCATTAAATTTAAACATTTTATTTATTTATCTGAAAAATATATTCCTCCCTAATCTTTATTTCATATTTTCTTTCGTTATAGATGATTTAAACATAACTTTGTTTTTTATAAGAAATAAAAAAAATTTTTATAAAAATATGCTAAGCTTAAGTGACTTCAGTGACTTATGAAATATTATCAACTATTAAAAATATTTTGTTAATTCGGATAAATAAATGTTTACAAATAATTATTTTTAAGCAGTTTTTAAGGTATTGAATTATTAAGAATTGGCCATCCTATATTTACCCTTCAACTTTGAATATTTTCTTACACTCTCTTTCTCTCTCTATTTCTGTTTTTGTTAGAGTATTTAAATTATTATTAATATTAAATTATAATGTTAAATTACAATATATATTTTTTTTAAATAAATAAAAGTTATTTTTATTGAATGACGGTTTGGAAATCATGCTCAACAGGAAATTGTTTACCAATATTGAATAGTTGGAAATAATAATGTGCGAGACAGGCGTATATAATTCCCAACGAAAAAATGATCTAAGATAAATACGTAACAATTTATTGTATTTCAAAAATACGAGGATAATTTTTTGATGTCTAGATTTTTTTTTGAAAAAATCGAGATACAATGTGTACGGCCGTTGATTTTACATTTTCATCGGTCTCATGTATTTTACAAAGAAAGAGAATTCTCACATCACGGAGAATCCGTTGTAGATGTTGCAAACTTTTTAGCGTTTTTCGAGCGAGTGATCGTTCTTGGAGCAAGTACTTGTTTTTCGAGTGATCAGTCGTTTTTCAAGTGATTATTATTATTAGTTATTGTATGTAAATATTAAAATAATGTAATATTTTAACAAAAAGAAATAATTCTTAATAAATCTCAGTGCGGAGCAAGAAATTTTTAAGTCGGCATATAATAGTGCAAGTTTTAATGAAATAATCTTTTCAGAATTTACAAAATTAATCTATTAAATATTTGCTTGCTATTATGAGGATTGAATGTAAAATTTAATGCTTGCAATATTGAAATAATAATTTTTTGAATATTAATTATTTTGAACGATATTTCAATTTAGATCTTTTATTTGTATGTTATAGATCAACTCATCGTAACTTCAATATCATCAACTCCGCTGTGCATCGATCGGTGAGTGATAAACTTTTATTTTATTTCGAAGTAACGGATTCATAGATATTATAGATGTAAATTATAAATAAATTACAGATAGATCCATTACTTCAAAATAGATAGCTAGAACAAATTAGATTGAACAAACTTTAATAAATTCAATATATTCTATATATGTAATCAACTTTTAATATCTTGTTTTAATATATGATGCAAGAATAAATTAGAGCATAAATTAAAAAAAAAGAATAAAAGAATAATTAAATTTATTTAATTCATTGAATAACAAGCATATTAATGATTTTATTAATTATATTGATAATAAATTTATTTTATTTTATTTATAAATTAATTAATTTAATTTATAAATTATTTTTATAACACGTGCAGATTTTATCTTACTAGGCTATAAAGCCTATTTATCTATATTCTGAAACTTGTTTAGTATAAACTATTCTTAAATTTTGCTATTATTTTGAGGAATTTAATAAAATTTTTTGATAAATTAACAAGATTACAAGGTAGATTGACAAAATTCTTAAAAATATATAATATTAATATTAATATTAATAATGTAAAATAAGTAATGTAAAATAATAAAATTGTAATGTAAAATAAGTAAAATAGTAGAATTTTAATTTATGTTAAAGTCATTCTTAGCGAAAGACTTGTCGATATTTAAGAGATATTATAGAGCCTCGTTACTTTAAGCGCACGATATTTCGACTATATAACCCGCGATATTATAAATTGTCGATATTTTGTTTGTATAAAAAATTCTAATATATAGAGAAAGCATTTCATGCATATATTGTGTATGCATCGCTTTTCTCTTTAATTCCCAACTATGCATGACGATAACATCGAGCGCGAGCCAACGTCTGTCAAGGATTGGAAATCTTTCGTTCCGGCGAGCTTCGATTCCTGCGAGACCGATATAACCACGTGGCGTGACTTAAATGTGAAAGAAAATACGCTGTGCTCGCACATGCTGAGATAGGTGAATCCATGTTCCCCGTGGAGATTCTTCCACTAGCGTTTCTCCGTCAATCCGTATTTATCGGACACATGGTCGAAAACTCGTGTATCTCGAACATCAAATGGGGATTTCTGGTAATGACATTCGGTACACAAAGTCTACCCTGGCTCACTTACAAATATCCTATGTTTTCCTTAAAGACACACGAGTCATAGCTTAAAGATATATTAATTTCGTTTAAAGAATATAATTCTGTCACATATAAAAATAATCTGTTTATGTTTCATAACTAGAAACTTTTGAAATATTTAATAATAATAAAAACAAATTTAAATAGTAATTTATAAACTTCAACGTTCTATTCAAAGATAAATACAATGTATGTAAAATTCGTACGTAACCACTTCCGACAAAGTGATCGATAAGATAGGCATGGTGGTTTCTTGTCTCGAATTTTCCGACAGAATCTCGAGAAACAGTTTTAAGAGCTAACTTATGGCGAAAGTTTGCAGCCATAGCCAAAGTACCCTTCACCGCGCTACTCTATTTGTCGGTTTGGAAGTACTGTTTCCGCGATCGATTCTATCCACATTACTGACAGCTGCAACCATATCGATAGCATATAAAATGTTTGAATATGTGAATACATGAAAATTTTTTTTAAATATATAGAATTGCACACAACATAAGTGCAATATGAGTTTATAAAGAATATTTATCATAACTTGTAGTGGAAAATAATCTTTAACTAAATGATATAAACATATTTATTCGCTTATACAAATATCTAAAATTTCTCTTTATGTTTATAAATGTAAAATTAGTAGCTTTAAACAAATGTTAAATTAAGCATCTATTTTCGGAAGGAAACTAATGACGTAACGTGTAAATACTTGATGTTCAAAGAGTCAATTGATGACAGCAGAAGCGTTTTATTATGTAGCAATTAAATTTGTTTTGCGCAGATTTGCACACGTAATTACAATTTGTAATTATTTCGAATCTCGTATGGCACTAAGAACACTCGAATCGGCTAATAGAATTCCGCTGTGAATAGCGAACTGTGTCATTTTACTGAAAGCCATTGTGTCGCTTGACATTATTTTAACATTAATGTTTAATGTCTTTTTTAATGTAAATTATTCGGTGCAAAAATTATTTATAATTATTTACAATATTAAAATCATTACTTTTGTGCGAGGTGAGTAAATTCCGATCGATACTGTTAACATCTCTTAATCCTAATAATAATCCTAATAATAATGTATAGTCGGTCAACAAATTAATCTGATATTGTACCATGCATACTGCAAAGTCATCGCAGCATTTGAAGTATAATAAATTTAATTATCACAGCATATATATATAATTTCGTAATTGTGTTTGTTATCGCATAAAATTGAAATGATTGTTAAGCGGTATTCACCAAGTATCAGATATGCATGCAAAATTCAATTAAGTACACATGTAACAGTTATTATGTAATCGAATTAACGTCTGCTGCGATCGGCAAATAAAATTGTAGTGAATAGAATTTTGCTTTCGATGGTAGCTAATATTATTGCCAGTATTTTTGCATTTAATAAAATTTCACCAAATTGGCACGAATTTTTCTTCTAAAAGATTGATGTGTAAAATGGGTATTAGTTATCGTGTAAATCACACAATGAGGGTCATTTATCGGATTATTTTTTTTCTTTTTTTATTTTTGTTAAAAATTCGTTGCTATCCGTTTTATGTTGAGAAGATATTTTTATGATTGCTCATGCAATATTGATACATAAATTCTATCGAATGTTTGCATTCCATATATGCGGAAATTTTATGAAATGTTTATATTCCATATATAAAAAGCAAAGCATGTAAAAACTAGTTGTTTATTTTATTTATTATTGTATTGTTTTTAAGTAGCATAAATGATTTTTCAACTGCTTGTGGAACAGCATGGAAGAACAACTATAAATCTTTCCATCTGCGAAATTTAATTATATTTTGTAGATAAATACTTCTGCGTTATAACGATAATTGTTTCATTAACGATTCTGTCTTATGCTGTTTTCAATTTAATTCCATACTTAAATCACCGAAATTCCGGGGGTTTTTAATTAATTTTTCTGCTCATATACACATACACACACATACATTTACGACGTTTGCATAAAGACTTAATAAAAATTTGTAATTGCATTTTTTATTTAGCTTTAATAACAATATTAACAACGAAACGTATTAATAAACGTTTTTCGCTTTTACATTCACTGAAATTTGATTGTAAATGCCAATAATTGAAAGTTAATTTTATGAAGTTGCCTCTGTCAGACGTTTTCTGAATGATTCGTCAATGGAATTCGCGACATGTCAAACATTTAGCATTCTATCGTACAAACGAATCGCAGAATTAGATAAACCGAGCAGTACGTGACCAACATAGTAACTCATTTAATTAGTCGAAATAGTCAAATACCTGGATGTATTTTCCGACGATGTATCGCTTGAAGGGAGATCAGTCCAGCTGCTGAATCGTGCTATTTCACGAGAGATAATTAATGGCTACTTCAAACTAATAGCAGAGTAATACGATCACGTGGCAAGGTTACAACGCAGATGGCCAATACTAGATTTAGGGCTGTGGATTAAGGCGGTTGTCGATACAACTGCATGTATTTTCAGGGAATGAGACAAATCATCTCGCATGCGTTGCTCGATAATCGCCAACATCAAAGTTTCTTTCTCTAATCAACAAATTTCATTTTCAATTAATTTTTTTTACTATCTCTTTTTTCATCGACATGAAAATTTCTCGACAATATCGATTCTACGTAAATAAATAATTTTTTCGTTTTGAGTTTTATGTCAAGAATGTCAATAGCGCTGATTTTATAAGATGTCGACGGAAAAGGCAGCACATTCTTGGAATTCTTGAAAAAAAATTGTCTTATAATCGACCGACTGTTTCGTATTCATACCCATAATTTAGTGCTTATCGCGTGAAAGTTGAAAAACAGATACCATTTTACATGTTAAGTGCCCGCGACGCGCTGCATCTCGGATATGCATCTTCGGGATAAGCTTCTTTCCGTGTACCGCAGAACATAACCCGGGGACATTGCCGCTCGGAGCGTTCCAGAAATGGTCGAACATACCGGGCGACTTTTTTTCATTCTTGCTCATAAGACATTGTTGAAGAAGCTGACGCCGCGTGTCCGTAATCTCAGTAATTTTTCAAAATATATTAATCTTTCCCTCTCGTTCTATTTCCAGCAATATTATTATATATAGTCATGTAAGAAGAAACTTTTTTTTACGCAAAATATTGATTTACAAACATGGAATATCCCGTCTTGCCAAGTGAATAACATTCTTATACCGATTGTTATCAATTTTTTTCCGAAGGCAATCATAATTATTTTTTTAATTTTACTCTCTACAAGGGAAATAATGACCGTTTTTCTGATCAAATTTTTTTTTAATTTTATATATTTCTCTCTCTTTACTTTTCTTTATTTCTCTTATGACTAATTTAATACATTTTTATTTAATTAAAATTTTATTTGTATTTAAAGATTTGAATTTGCAGACAATACATTAGATGATGTAAAAAAGAGATATTTTATAGGCTCGATTGTGTAGCCAAAAAACTTTGCCGGATGAATTTTGAAACGTTACTGCGCTGGTTTATTCGAGATGTAATTTCTGCGTATCTCCAACTTTTACATTTCCGTTTAATTTATGCACGAAATTATCTTTTTGTGATTACCCGGTTTCCTCTGACTTGTAGTTACGCCGAGACGACCACTGATCGCGCGAATAACTCTAGTTCACTCGGGCGTAAAATTAATTTTAATTGTTCGTTAATTAGTTCTTAGCTGAACTATGCGCTATATTCGAAAGCTCGCTGTGCCACGAGTTTGCATCCTTGTCGGCAAACCGAAACATTAATTCACCGTTCTGTGTTCGCTTCGTTATACATATAACCACATTAGGTGTTTGCGAATCCACGTGACTGACAGAAATAAGTGACGCACATGACGACTTGGTT